GCTTAGGCCTCAATGTTTTGGGCAGCAACAGTTTGTTTGTATGTAAGCAGTGTGTGTGTGTGTGTGTGTTTGGTTTGGTTGCTACTGCATGTATATAATATATTTAAAATTGTAAATGTCTAAAGATAATCTTTGAAAGTGATTTCACTGAATGTCAGCCATCTCTTTACATTTACTGTTAATACCATTTTACTGGCTATTTTTACGAATTAACGAATGATGGCACTGTTATTTCCTGTTTGTGGTAAAACAGTAATGACTATAAAAGAAACACTTTCATCTAATCATGTTCCACATTTGTTTGCTATTTCTCTTTCAAGCAGGTTTCCTTACTTATTGTGGCCTCTGTTTTTCATTTCAAACTTGCATTCCATGCATGTGTAAATTTATGCTGTACAGGCTTTTCAATCCATTTATTATCGCGATAATTTTTTTTTATTGCAAGGACCATTCCACTTTTCATCAGTTGTTTATCTTCAAAGATTTTTCAAAATAATATGATACTAAAACTTCATTTGTGGAAAAGAGGTGATACATATTTTAAATGTGCCTTCAGTCAATTGATGCTTTAGAAAGTTACTTTTCCAAAATTATTTTGCATCAAATTATTTACTGAAATAAATTAGTGTAAAACGTACTGTAATTTTGTTGGGGTTTTTTTTTCTTCTAGCATTTCAATTATTTGAAAGAGCTTTGGCAATACATACTGCTATTAAACTGTGTACATAAATTATACATATTGAAGTCTGTCTTGATTTTGAGCTTGTGTTACGTTAGATCCTTTTTTTTTTCATCGTTATAAAGGAACAGTTTATTCCATATTCTTAACAAACTTATACTAATGGACACTTGAGGTGGATGGGTGGAGGTCACCACTTGTTAGTCCTACTTCTTTACTTTCCCTCTGTTTTTTCTGTCTATCTTACTTTTTCCCAGCACCGAATGACCGTTATAGTGTCTTGTGTCGATGTGCTTCTCTTTATTCAAACAAACAAGTAACCCGAGATTCTGTTAGAAGTAGCTGCTGGATTTTTAGTCTTTCCAGGGATATCTTTCTCTTCTGAATCATAATGTGTATTGACGTCCTTTGAATTTGAAGTGACCTACAGTGTTTCTTGTCATTTTTTTAATTGATAAAATCAGAAAAGATGTGTGGTTGGTTGGCAGGTGCTCTCGTGTGGTTTGCTCCTTCTTTCCTATCAAACATTTATCGTCCTTATCTCCCCTCCTTCTTTTTTATGTTGGTTACTCTCTTGTAACACCTCTAATCTTCTGGCGCTCATGTGACCTTATGCAGTTGCGAGCGCCGTAAAACCTCTACAAAACCTCTGATGTTATACTGTGTGATGATGTTATGATTACAATATTACATGTATTGACGCCTTGTACTTGTAACCTATATGTGCCTCCTGCCTTGTGAGAAGGTTTTTATTCACTGAAATGCCAAAAAAATAAACAGAACTCTGTACTGACTCAAAACACAACTCTCCTGCACCAACAAAGGAAAAGAAAATATATATCTGTAAGTTAAATTTTTATTAAGGACAGCATGATGTAATGTTTTGGACAGTACTGCAGAGCCCTCGTCTTTGATTTGCATCTTTGTTAGAACTGCACAGGACATATGAAATCATTTGTTCTCTTGTTCACACTCCAACTTAAGTCTCAACAACATGAATACTTTCACTCTACTAATTTCCTATCATGAAATAGGTGAAATACATGCAAGTACATTGCTTAAGTTAAAAAATGTAATATGTTCTTAAATTAGAGATCATTGGTTCTTTAATAATAACAATCTTGACTGAAGTGTTATAATATACACAGTAATGCGCACAGTATACTTATAAAATGTGATAAAGGACAGGCATAATCATTCATCATGTTTAAAGTTGGAAGAGGGTTATTTTCATGTACATATGTAGTAAATTTACGTAGTAAATGTTTTAGTTTATACACATGACGTAATAAATGGAATGCTTAAAATAATACATTATGTATTCCTTGAGCATCTTACAATAAATTCTTCTTTCTCCGAAAACAATAAATGGTTATTTTACCGTCAAATGAAAGTATAAAAATATGAATACTTTGGGTAATTCTGATGCACTATCTCAAAATCCGAGGTGAAATGTATCACCATTCATGGTGTGTTGGAAATCTGCTTGTATTTATTATAATATAATGAGCGAACACCACTACATTTAAATAAGTGTTTAAGAAGAAAGGTTGTGATTTTTTTTCTTTGCTTGAAAACACAACCACAAAACCCCAAAAAGAGGAAAGTCTATGAACACTACAGACCCGGCTGCATCAAGTAATTGAAGTAGGTATGCTTTTGGCTTATGAGTGTTTTCTTCCCTTGTGTTCTCTCACTCTCTCTCTCTCTCTCTCTCTCTCTCTCTCTCTCTCTCTCTCTCTCACTCTGACTCTGTTACATCAGACTATGATAGAAATAAAACACATGACTAATTTTTTTGTATCACAATCTTTGTCATTATATAAACAGGAGCAACTAAGTCACCCGTCTTTGATAGTGACAGACAGCGCAGAAGCTGAATTGCCTTCGCCGACTCAAACCCGCTGCACCTGCCCCATTTTACAACGAGTTTCAGCTTCACCTGTTGTGAGGATCACCACATGTACCAGGAACCTAAAAAAAAGCACAGAGTACTTGGCACTGGCAGTACCACTTCTCGCTTTTTCTTTGACTTTGAGTAATGTTACGTACGCTCTATATTTGAGACAGATCAAAATGTCAGTACATAATGTACATGTATCACAATGTAACCGGTGTCTGTGGTGCAGCGGTTAAAAACGCTTTGCTGTCGCACACAGAAGACCCGAGTTTGATTCCTGTGTTGGAAGGATTTTTGTTGGTCCTTTTTCTGGGACGTTTTAACCCTCTTGGCCGTGTTAGCCCTGACAGGCAGGGTAGAAGCCCGTTCCTAAATTAATGATGTAAATTATTTCAAAGGGAACGTTAAAAACACCTACATTTGTAGGATCTCCTTTTTGTGGCAACTGATATAAAGCTTCACAGGTGAATACTAAAATTTTATACTTCTGACTGCAAGTAAGTAAAGTAAGGACAATAATTAATCAGTTTCGAAATGTGGTTTTGGGTTCTTTTCACAAAGATGGATAGAGTATTATCCACAACTCACGACATTGAAAGTTATGGAAATAATCATCGGGTATTCACGTACAATACAACAACAACAACAAAAGCAGCAATAATAATAAGGGACCCTAATAATAATAATGCTTAAAATCTATGCTCCTCGTCGGGTCTTTTTTTTTGGGGGGGGGGGGATATATAGACAACTGAGCTGGACATATGAGGTTGAAATGGGTTATGGATCACATTAGTTGAAGGCACTACTAAGTTGAACGCAACTCACAACATTTTTGCAGTGGGGGGGGGGCGGGGAATAGATCTAATTACATGTATGTTGTGTTCGAAAGCCAAAAAAGTGCAACTGACTTCTCCTCCACCACCACCCCTCAATTCCTCCTTCCTATCAACATACACTATGTTCTCCCCCATCAAACGTAGCAGACCACTGTAGCTCAAATGGTTTCGAATTACATGTAGATCAAACACAAGGAAGTGTGAGACACTAAGACGAATGTGTCTGTCTTCCTAGAATAATCATTGTCCTCTGAGTTCGTTATCCCAATGAAGGGTCAAGTTCTCCTCTTTTGAACTGCACTCATTATAAGACAATTGGTGCATTCGAAACGACGTAGCATCCTGAACGAAACATCTGAAACTGAAACCCCGAAAAATAGTTTTTCGTGAGCTATTAGTTTTCCAAATGACTTGCGCAGCATATAATTATGTAATATAACGATTTCCTTATATATTAATATAAATGATACAAAGTAATATAATATATGTTTGGCGTTGAACTAGAACTAGACCTAACAGTCATGGAAGTGGAAGCAAGGTGATGTGTCAAAACGCCTGTCTCAAGGATTACAAAAACATGCTCTCAACTCAGATAAAAAGGTTTTCTCTCATTCCTTTGTTCTTTTCCCTACGCCATTGAACGCACAGGTAGTGAGTCTATCTTCCCCACAACTATCCCCGCAGTTTTATGCACACACACAAAATCTGAAATTATGCAAACTGAGCCCAAAAATGAGAAATTATACGATTCTATTAATTTGAACAAAGAATGATATAGGAAAATAATCAGAAATTATGCAAAAAATGATCAAATTTTGCTAAATTATGCGGGGTGCATAAAACCACGGGGAATGATCTGATTGGGTCAGTAACTTCGCGTCCCATATTCTACTATGATTACGAGACACGGACTTTGGAGTAAAAGCTTATGAATTAGATGCTGTCTCGAAGGCTCTTAGCATATCCCACGAAGATCATCCAACGATGCAAAAGTTATAGATGTAGATCTAGAAAGAATTTGGCAAAGCAGTGGGCCGTGCAGAGAATCGTCAGTTGTCTGCTATGAAAAGATGCAAAGTGAAAAGGTTTGGACACTTTGTAAGATCACGTGGACTAGCTAAGACTGCACTTCAGGGCGCAGCATAAAAAGGTAGAAAAAAGATAGGAGGCAAGCATCACACAAAGGACAGGCCTGGAAATAATGACTATGAGGTCATGGGCAAGTCCTACAATCGAATGAGATAAGTGTGAAGTTGTCTATGGCACCCTACCGGTCGACGATACTATGGGATTGATTATAATGACTTTGGGTTTCCTAAGAAACACAGGCCAATTTTTCCCCCATGTCCCTACACAAGGGAGAAGGGTGGTGTTATAGTAATTTCTACTACTGTCCACTTCCTTTTTTCTTGACCTTTTCACGTGTTTCACGATAAGCCACCTATCTCTAGCCAGGCTAACCTGAACAAAGTGGCCTGTAACGGGTCTAGAAGAAGCTGTCCCCGTCGTTTTATGCAAATGTAGTTCTGAAATTATGCAAACTGAGCCCAAAAATGTGAAATTGTGCGATTCTGTTCATTTTAAAAAGAATGATAAAGGAAAATTATCAAAAATTATGCAAAAAATGATCAAATTTGCTAAATTATGCGGAGTGCATAAAACCACAGGGACAAAAGAAGGGGATTTTCAGCCAAATACCTTAAAGGAATTTTAAATGTTGCACTACGGATTAAGCAAGGAACTTACTGAGTTCTAGTCCTGTTTATTAAACTATTCATGCATCCATATATATGGAGATAATGTATTTCATCGTGACTAAATTCTTGTAAAACTAGTTTCGGACTCCTCAGAAACCAATTCTTGCTTGCCTTTGGCAAAACTCACCACACGCCCAGGAAGGGTGACAAAATAGTTTGTGGTGCCCAAAGGGTACTATTTCCAAGGCTACTCGTAAAATGTTGTGGTTTGTTTTTCTTTTTTAACGAGGAGCAAAGAACACTCGTCCAGATTTCTATTTATACACGTTATATAACAGATCAACTCAGAATTGCTAAAATTTTCTTTCCTTCATTCGTTTGATCTTCTCTTGGTACATCTGGAAGTATCCTCCATTTGGATCTGGTGGCGTCATTGATTTGGCGTCCAGTATTAAAGGTAAGCTAAGAGGTGTGTGGCTCAAGTCACTCCCCTGGTCCCACGCTGGTGGAGGTGTCACTGAATTATGCGCTGGTTTTGTTTTCGGGGCTGGTCTCTTGATCCTGTGGTCACTATTATTATATACCTGCCTAGGCTTTTGGTCTTTTTGTTGAGGTTGCTCTGAACGTGCTCTAAGCACAGGACGAGAGTTGTTACCCTCCATTTTCCCCGGAGGATTTCGCCCGTTTTGAACGTTAGGGGGAGGGCGTGTGTACTGAGTGTTAGGTTCTGGGTCCATGCGATTATATGGAAGTGCATTTGTGCTGGGAACCGCATTTGAGTTTTGGCCTTGAATGGCGCCATTGTTGACCCAGCCACTCATTTGCTTCACCCGAACGTCGGAGTCTTTCTGCTTTCGTTCAAGAGCTTGAATCCTGGAATCAAATTGCTTCTGTTCTGCTTTCTTGTTAGTAAGTTCAATGTTTCTTTCCACTAACATTTGTCGGAGTTTTTTGTTCTCATCCCTCAGAATCTTTATATTGGCTTCCATTTCTTGGAAGTGGGGCCCGTTTAGTTTCACTCTTTCGTCTTCAAGCGTCCGGAGTCTGCCGTGGAGGACATTCATTTTGTTGGCCGCTTCTCTCAAACGTGTATCAAGAAGATTTATCTGATCGTCTTTCTTCGCGAGATCCACTTCACATTGGGATTTAGCATCCTTCTCCATTTCCCATTTTCTGAAATACTTTTTACTTTCTGCAATCGCCTCGGTTGAAGACACGTTTTCCTGCTTCAATCTTTCCACTGTTCGAGTGTATTCCTCCCTTTCTTGCTTGAGTCTATGATTTTCAGATAAGCTACTTTCAATTTCTGCTTTGAGAGAGCCTATTCTAGATTTCAGGGCGTATGTCTCTTTCTCCATTTCTTTCGACATTTCTGCTTCCTTTTGGTATTTGAGATTATCCTGGCGTGTTTTATCCAAATTGTTCCGAATATCAATTATCAATTTATCTTTGTTATCGTGGTCAACTTTCAATTTACGTATTTCATTTTCCCTCTGAGCTAAACTACTTTTAAGTTTTTCTTTTCCGTCTTCGGATACTTGTAACATCTTTTTCTTGTCTTCTAGGTCACGCCTAACACTGTCCAACTCTTCAACTGCCTTTTCCAAATGTTTTTTTGACTGTTTAAGTTCGTCTTCGGTTATCGTTTCGTTGTTCATCGCGAACAGTAACTCTCCCACTTCTTTTCTCTTTTCATCCAACACATCAGCAAGAGATGCATTTTCGTCTTCTAGTTTTTTTACCCTTGCAGTTAACAATTTGCTTTCTCTCTGAGAATCTTCCAACAATATTTCAACACCACGTCTCTTCGCGTCTAAAGCGGTGTTCAGTTTGTTTATGTCATCCTTTTGAATTTGTGTCTGAAGGTCTTGAATCTTCCGCTCCAACTCGGCGTTTTTAGTTTTCAATTTTGTGTTCTCAACGAATATACCATCGTGCTGCTTCGTTTTTGAGTCTGTTTCTTTAAGTTTAAGAGACAGTTTTTCGTTTATATGTACAAGATTCTCGTTCTGACTCTCTAGCTGGGCAATCTTTGCCTGTGGATCATCAGCTTGGTCAGACTCAGTTTGAGCCTTTGGCCGACTTCCCGTTGACTTTGAAGCGTCCAGTTCTTTTCTCAATTCTTTGTTTTCGTCAGAAAGAACCTGACACTGGTTTATCATTCCTTTCAGCTCTTCTTCTAACTGCTTTATTCTCTTCTGGTACGTTCGTTCAGTTTTTACCATTGCGTTTCTCTCCTGAAGCACCTCCTCAAACGTTTCGCTGGCATAGTCGTAACCGTCCGACGTCGCCATGTTTTTCTCCTCTGACTTGACCGTGTGTGGATCAGGGTATGCGAATCCACTCTGGCTTAGGATTTTATTAGAGTCTTTTTCCCCAACAGACACTTTGAGAAATTTTGGAATACCACTCACTTTTTCGTTGTTCCAGTCTGAATTAATCCCGTTATCAGTTTCATAAGAACGTGCTGAATCGAGATTTTGCACAGTCAAGGGAGTTTGGGGGCGTGAAACAGACGCTTGCCCCGGCGTTATTGTCGCCCTCTTCTCAAAGATTTCTTGGGGCGGTTTATCGTCGTTTGAGTTCAGTGTATCTATGTTATTTTCAGGGTGCAGTTGAGAAGTTTTGGCAATTCTCCTGCCAGAATTTGGCTTTTGACCTTGGGCCCAGCGTTTCCCGATGTCGAGGTTCGGGTGCAAAGCGGGCTTTATGTTCTTTTCATACTTCGATGAAATAACTTTCCTGTCCGTTTCTACAAATGTTTCTTTGTTTTTCTTACAATGAATTTTCTTCGATTTTGGCTGCCAGTCGCTTTCGCAAAACGAAGAGTCTAGATCAACTTGCTCATTGCATGGTTGATCTCCAGAGTTCGCAGCCGCCTCTCCCATTCCTGAGGAAGAATCGACTCGTAAAATTTCATTGTCGGGAAGTAGGCTAACTGGGGTCTCACTTTTCAAAGCCTCTGCATTAACTTTTGCTTTTTCGTCAGATCTTTCTCGTGAAGCACTGTTTCGGATCAGAATCGTCTTTGGCGTTTGGCCAGGTTGAACGAGGTTTTCGGGGGTCCCGCCTGCGGCCCCGTGTGCATTCAAAGATGTCTGGAGAACCAGTACGTCTTGTGTCGTTTCTTCGTGTATCGTGGGTTCTTCCGAATCAAATTTAGCATTAGGAACTTTAATACGTGGCTCCCTTCGAATTTTCTGCCTAGCAGACTGAGAAAGTGTGGTTTTAACAGAAGCGTGGGTGTCAGTGTCAGAATCCCCGGCAATACCAACGTCAGACAATATGTCTAGCTCCGACGAATCGCCGTAACTGGATGGCGGGGCTCTCGATATATTCACACGAGCCCCTCTTCCGATATGTACTTTGCGAAAGTCAGTATCTAGTGCAGTCAAGGCATGTGTGGGTTGAGGTGCCCAAACTGGACGATCATCGACGATTGGGAGGTCGATATTGCCTCGTCTGATTCTGTTGTCGTTGACAGAACGATCGAGGGGCGGCTCTGTGTTGAATGTGGTCTGGCGAACTACTGATATTGGCTCAGTCATCGTACGAGTCACTTGTGATTAATTTATCCCATGACAAAACCTTTCCGACTCTTGCACTGAAGATGTGAATAGCCAAAGAGGTAGAATATTTGAACCTGGAAAGAGAAGAAATAACGATAACCAGAGTTAAATAGTTGCCCAAAATGAGAAGTCAAGATATTTCTTATCATGCAAAGTCATTTTCCAAAATTATTACATAAAATCAAATGCGGAACAAATGAATTAAAATAAAAAAGAAAAGAATTTGAAACTGCAATATTCCCGCTGTTTCCAGAAATGATGTGTGTTTGGCGGATGGTGGGGAGAACCGACGATACAGAAGAGACTACAGACAGTACCCGATATGTTGAGCAAAAACAAAGAACAAATCATAATCTTTTGCCCTATTCATGATACGAAATCAGGAAAATCTTAAGTAGAGTATATGAAAAGAAAATTCCCCTTTGTGCTGTCATTTGTCTCGCGTAGATAAGGATTTCGATCTGGTTTGGAAAGTTTGACTTATGGCCCAGAACTGATCACGGGTTGTCATACGTCGAGGGCTGAGCTATCAAAAATCATTATTCTATCTTTTGAGCATTTCTATTAAATTGATAATATATACATTGATGTGTCACCTAATGTGTGTATATATGTTTCGTTCCGCTTTTGCTCTGAATTGGTGTGTGTGTGGGGGGGGGGGGGGGGGGGGGGGATTTTTGAAACTGACAGATGTCTGGAAAAGCTAAAGACATACCCAATACATAGATGAATGTACAGTAGTCTCCGCCTAAACGCATGGTGCTCGGGAGGGCTCCTGAGCGTGTGTTTACACGGAGCGTGCGATCACATGAACCTTTGCAAGGGGAGGAAGGGACGCAGTCATCTCAATTCCTTACTTCTCTAGTAATCTCCCTTGGAGGAGGGGGTCATTTTGGCAGATAAGGTGACGACACGTGACTGTTTTGTTTTGTGAAGGATTCCCCGACAGGGGTTAAGAATACAAAGGCGTTGAATGGGGGAACAAACTCAAAGTAATGAATAGTATGCACTATAAACGTCGGGAACAGATAGCCTATGAGGAAACGGTTGGTGATAGTCATAGAGTCGACGGACCAGCCATGTGGCTTTCCAAGCGACCGTCCCCGACCGTAAATTCATGCAGAATCATCCTCGAGAAACATTTTCTCTTGTGATTCGTTGAACAAGTACATTATAAGTTCTTTGAGCGCCGCTTATTAGGCTTACTTGGCTAATCTTTAATCCTATAGAGGCCTGTCTAGTGTTTTACGGCTTTTACGCATTTCGCGCATCAGGCCTAGATCTAACTAAACATTACACGCGGTCACTCAAACTCAAACACCAGTAGGAAACCTTCCCTCAAAGATACATTTCCAGTGACCAATCAAAAAACATTTCAGTCCCCCCAATCCCATCCCTCCCCCCCCCCCCCCAACATTTAACCGGAGACCGAGACCTATGCGTCAGTGGAAAGTGGGGTGTGTAAACACTGTCTATCACTCTCTTTGTCCAGCGTGAGGGGCACTCTTACCAAATATCCCGTTTTCTAGTAAATTCTAGGCTTGCCTGCAGGCTGTGCGGGTTGTAGTGAAAATTTCCCCTTGCCAAGCATAACTTGTCGGCGTGTTTCGCGGATTGAAGCGTGTGTTTAGAGGGAGTGACCGTGCGTTTGTACGTCTAAATTATATAGTAATAAAACCCGTCAGATGACGAAAGCGTGCGTTTGAGCGGAGCGTGATTTTGTATGGCGTGCATTTAGGCGGAGACTACTGTATGTGTATAGAAGCTCTATATCCTGCAGACGTTGTGCATTAGCAATAGCCAACCTGCCACGTTGTATTAATTATTATTGTTGAGACATCTCCTGCAACACTGTTGCAATACGTACAAAATCATACAATACTGTAATACACCACCGTACTTTTGATAACATGTGAAACGAGTCAACTGATAAGAAATAACGGGGGGGGGGGGGGGGCGATACTTTTAACAACCAGAAAACAATACTAGGCCTACATGTACCTGAAAAAGAATTATATTAATAACTAAAGTGGGGTTGTTGTTTTTTTTTTTTTGGGGGGGGGGGTGTGACAATATCAGCTCTGGACAAGATTTTATGACTGTTGTTTGGTGGTTGGGGGGGGGGGGGGTATCCCTTAAGCCTCACGCAAGGCGTTGTCTGAGTTTGGTTAATTAAACCGTAATGCTATATTTTCTGTGGCGAGTTCGGCTTTCCACTGCTTGTACAAGACAACTTGCTCAAAAATATCTTATCTGGAGAGCTATAAAGTACAATATATGCGTGTTTCTTTGGGGTTATCGATTTTTCAGGTAATGTAAACTGAAAAATTATGGTTCCCAGCAGCCGTCCTTTCTTATGAGTGAAAAAAAAAACCCCAACGACCCCAGGACATCCCAGCAGGCTAACATGCATTTGTGCTGAGAAGGTGAGGCCCGACAGAAGTTGAGAGAAAATTTTACTAAGAAAGGACAATCAGCCAGGGGCAGTTCTTTTAGATTTAATGGGACAGAAGATGTTGCCGGAGCATAGGAATTTCGTTTATGCATGAACTATACAACTAGTGATTCGGAGTAGGCCAACGTGACAGTTTACTTCATAAAATCCGTAAGCGCTACACAAACAATATAATTCTGCCACATTTTAGATTAACGTGACAGTCCGAAGCTCACAAATAAGATGTAAAATTGTTCAAAAGTACTCGTTTTGGTTAAAACAGACGAGCCGGGAAACACCCAGTAAAAGCAAAGCGCTACTGTACATAATAATATTATGAATTGGGATACAGTTGAGCAGCGGTAGAGATTATAAAGCAGAGGACAAAAGTTGATGAAGAACTCTAGTTGGTGGCCTTGTACTCCGATACGAGGTGAAAAGGATGATGATGATGATACACGAGAAGAATTCTCCGCTTTTTACCCGGTTTTTAGTTACTTGAACTCTGAAACAAATGGGTAAAAAACGGCTATTTTACCGATATCATTGTGGATACGCTTCTGCATTTTATAATTCAATCGTACGAAGTAAGATTCACTTCTGTATGACAGCATGGGCCGGAAACACAAGACATCAAGATAAAGTAAAACTGAATCGATTAATACGGGAAAGTAAGCAAAATGCCCACAGCTACATTAGTCTACGCTATTTTGATTAACTATGTGGCGCAACTTATCCTGAAATATCTCTTTAACGGGTGAATCAGTGTCACCCCTACTTTGCATAGCAGTTTGTTTCAATTTGCCTTACCATAAAAGGGGAGGGGGGGGGGCTACAACTGAGGGCTATTTAGCTTATTAGTGCATCAAATTTTACCAAATTTCACATATAGTTTTTCAGTTCGAATATTATACACTTTTATAACAAATTCAAATGCCGCATAGAAAGACCAAATTACACCTAACATCCAAATATTCAAATGACGTCATTAAAAGTCCTAGCTATCTAATACATGTACAACAATAGCAAGTTCAAATGTAAACGCAGAAATCTAAAATGTAACACATAGCAAATTCAAATGACACCTAGCAATTTCAAATGTAAATATGCATGAACTGGAGAAAAAAAAGAGACTAAAAGTATAAGAAGTGTTTAAAGGTAAAAAGTTAAAGGGTTTGGGGGGTTTTTGCATCGAAAAAGTTCGATGTCAGCCGTGTGGTGCCTCAAGGAAGAAATCACTGGAAACGAAACTAATTGTTATTTTTTTTAACCCGAAAATAAACCCACATATTTAAGAAGAAACGAAGGGTTACGACAAAAATCAACAAACTGCTGGTGTATATTGAACTAATTGGATGAAATGTAATGCCAAGTTTACTTTTATTTAGGCCCTACTTATTGTTGCACAATACTATAGGCTTCCATTGATCTAAAGGCTGCTGTCATATTCACTATAATCACGCTTGTTTGTTTGGTGGTTTTTTTTGTTCCATCATCTGGGCAAGTGTTACCATCTTTTATTGGTGAGTCTGCTGAGTGATCATTCTAGCTCTTGCTTCAGCAAACAACTGTTTCAAATCGTATTTCCCAAAAACGTAATTATTCAATGGTGAAATGGTATAGGTTTAACACTGTTAAGTTATTTAAGAGGCAGGATCTCCGAAAGGACCGGGTCAAACAGGAAATTCGTGTAAAGTGCCTCTCCCAAGGACACATCGCCGTATCGAACTGAGGCTCGAACCCCCGAACCCGATTCTCACGATTACAGGTCCAGTAGACTAACCACTAGGCTACTCAGTCCGCTAAAACGTATTTCCAAATTATGAAAAGTTTTCACAGATTGTATGCGGGTGGCAAGATATCTCTCCTCGAGTCTTGTTTGATGAAACGAAATGTTAAATGAAGCAAAAAACATTTTTTTACATGAAAATAAACAACTTCTAAAATAAAGAATGGTTACGATAAAAATCCACACACACAATATTATTGCACTACAAGACGTTCGGTATAGGCTTGCATTGATTATCTGAAGGCCGCTGCCATATTCACTATAGTCACGGCTTGGAATGTTTGTTCCATTAACTGAGCAAGTGTTACCATCCTTAGTTGATTAGTCTACTGAGTGAGCATCTTTTGCTTCACTGAGCCTCTGTTTCAAATCGTATTTCCAAATTCTCTAGCGTTCTTGTAGATGTTAAGAAAAGGTGTGTAAAAGGGGGGGGGGGGGATTTCACCCCCAATCTATTGATGAGTTTCCATTTAAAGCTTGCCTTTGTGCACGAGCGTTGTAACATACAAAGCTTACTAATACTTCGTTGTGAGGATTGTTAAAACAGTGCCTTAGAGGGATGGCAGACATTCCCTCTACACGAAAGTCGTAAAAGACCAGGCCACCCTCGGCACTGACAGCCATCGTGCGGTTCGGTCCCCTTCGACCCTGCACTACTTGAACAAAGCATTGATGACGCCGTGCTCTTCCTCGGTTACACTTCGTCAACAGCTTGACACTAGTCTCATCAATGAAGTCAAATCCCTACTTCTAAATGTTCTGCATCAGCGTTGCTGTATGCTGATGTCTGGTTGCTTCAGTCCTAGCAGAATGGTTTTTTCCGGAGGTGCATTCTCGTGATTTTTTTAAAA